CACCATTTGTTTCGTGTTTGCAAGTTCAAGTAAACTTGCCAGAACGTGAGAAGGTGGTGACACTTCCACGGCGCAACGCGACAGCACCAAACGAAACAAAATCGAATCAAGCGAAAATTCGGACTGAACAGCTCAACAGTCGAGCAAAGAATGTGCTGCCGTTTTACGCATATCTGCCCTTTAAGTAATGTTTTTCCCTTCCGCTGGATATGGGGGTTGAAGTTTCTAAAATGAAGCGTTTTTACTAGCGACTATTGTCGGCACCCTCTTTTTCTTTGGCAACCTTTCCATCTGAACTGCGTGTTATCCAGCTGGTCTATTATCGGCAACTCGAAATCAGCCTCATTTTGTAGTGCGTATATTTCATTCCTCAGTCGTAAACATTTAATCAGATTGAAGCTGAAATACTAAGGAATCGTTTGAATGCATTCAGCGAAGTGTTTTGATGGGTAAATACAATAAGGGTATTCACAAAGTGCATCGTAAACGTGTACAGCCTCGTAAGTGCGTAAACTTCTATTACACTCCAATAGACCCTGGTATTTTTACAACACAGATTTTAGACAGTAGATATCAGTGAAGTTTTAAGCTATCCTAAAAATGAACCCTAAAGTTCTTGACGCCTTATCAACAACAAATGCAATGTGTTGCTTGAATGATAGCTGTGAATCCAAGATCACACCCAAGTCTTTCACTAAATAATATCGGTTGTTGTTTTCGTGAGAACGTAATAGCGGTGCATTTGGCTGGGCTGGGTTCACTACCATTCTGTTTAAACTGCACCAACCAGCGAATACATTCAGCTGACGTTGAAGAAAGTGACAGTCAGCAATGGATCAGATTCGTAGGAAGATTTTGAGCTCATCTGCATAATATGCATCATATTATGATAACCGAGGAGCTTCGATACCTAGATGCACGTCGTTGAAGTACAGGATAAAAATTAACGTTCCCATGTGGCGAAGAAGCTAGCTGATCTGCAATCTCCTATGGCAGCCTTTAGTTGCCGACCGGTAAGATATGATCGAAACCAACTCAGAAGATTACCACATACACCGAGCCTGCCGAGTTTAGCAATCGCAATAGCATGATTCAACTTGTCGAATGCTGCGGATAGGTCTGAATAAATAACGTCCGGTTTGAACCCGATCCGACATGCTTTCGGTTATATACGATGTGAGACACAGCAGATTGGTGGTTGTAGAGCGGGCGACAGTAAATCCATGTTGATCAGCACTCAAATACTGCTTGGCACTTAACGATGCAATTCCTCGATAGTTATCCACAGCTCGTTTCCTTCCTTTTTTGTAGACGGCAAACATGTGCGCAAATTTCCAGCAAGATGGAAATATGCCACTGGAGAGAGATATTCGGAACAGGCGAAGAAGCGGAATTAACAAGCTAGAAATATGTCTCTTCCAAAATACAGATGGTGCAGGATTGAAGGATGACTTGAGCAGAGTCGCGGCCTTAGAAATCATCTCAGCATTAACATCAATTGCACCCAGTGTGTAATCATTTACTGGAACGTTCCTGGCAGCCATGTTAATATGGTCGTCACCTAGTATCTCATTAATGAATACACTGGCAAACATATATCCTGAACGGTGGTAGCAACTTCTCCGTTTAATTCCATAGACGATGGGAGGCCGGATTCCCTGCGTTGCTCGTTCACGTAGTTCTAAAAGGATTTCGAGTGTAGCATAAGTTTGCGCTGGATGCCTGGTTGGAAACTTGAAAAGCATTCACGACTGACTCGCTGGTACATGTGATTCAGCCTCACATAATGTAGTTTCATAGGAAGCGTGCGATACTTCGTAAATCTTCTCAATGCTGCTCTCTTGATTGACTTCAACCTACGTAGCTCTCTCGTCTGCCACGGAGGGTGAGACACTTTGTGGTGAGTTCTTTTCGGGACGTGTCTGTCAATGACATATGCCAAGACATGTGAAAAGGTTTCCGCTGCAGTCTCAACGTCATCTGGATCAAGGATGTTCTCCCATACCATGCTAGACAATACATCTATGATGCTACGGTGGTCAGCTTTACGGAAGTCATAAGAAACCGTAGCAGGATAGTCGTTGAAATCACACACGAGTTTGTCCTCAACAGTGACAATTAGAGGAGGGTGATGTGGAACCAGCTTAGTTAGTGCACAAGGAGCCGAGGAAATTAATGGAGCCGTGTCCTGTGTGCTCACGAAGCAGAGGTCCAAACTACGATCATGTTCGTTAACTACATGGTTAATTTGAGAAAGCGTCGCTGCACTGTAGTTTTCGAGAAGGCTAATAGCTCCTGTGTGAAATGTAGAGCTATCAGGATCTGGATACAGGAATCCGCTATGAAATAGACTCCACTAAACGCCTGGCAGATTGAAGTCACCAAAAATGAATATCTCATCAACTGGAGTGGCACTTTCGATAACTGTGAAAACTGACCGACCCATCGATGAGTTCATTGTCCTGGACTCGATCAGGTGGAATGTACAGAGCGCATAGAAATAGTGTGCGATCACCCAGATTGATGGCTGTCCAAACCTGCTCCACATAGTTCCATGAATCGTTCTCGATGGCCTTTGCCTCAAACCCGCCACGGACAGCTACTAGGACACGTCCACCAGTAGATTTACGCCTGATGTTAGGATTCCGATCGCAACGAAAAACCTCGTAGTCAGGACCGAATACTTGACTGGAAAGCGTTCGATAATCGAGCCACGTTTCGCACAGGACAATTACATCGTAGCAACAATTCGATACAGCTAGGCGGTACTGTTCAACGTCATAATTCATTCCACCGGCGTTTTGGTAGAAGATCACGACGTCCTGCTTACGGCAAGGAATCGAACGACTGCTCTCCCTGGAAATCACAGATACTGACCATCATCAAGTCTGATTGGATACTCTCCACATCCGACAGCAGGTCCGGAACGACTATGATGAACGAAGGCTGCTGATGGCAGGACTGAGACGGAGGGATTGGGGACTTCCATGGGGCTTTCTACGGTGCGTTCCATGATTGGGAGTTACAGAGGCATCATCACAATGACTAACATAGTTCGAATTGCTGAAAATGTGATCGCCATCAGGCAGTGAATAGTCAATATATTGAGCTAGCCAGGAGATGGGAGTTGAGAACTCGGAAGGTCCCGGAACAGGAGAGATCGTGATGGCTGGCGTGTTAAATCGAGACATCCACATGTTTTTTGAACCTTCTTCAAATTCACGGAACAAAAATTCCTTTCGGCCATGCATCCGATGTAAGAGCAACTTCACGTAGTTTGGGAGCTAATCCGACTTTGTACGATATGTACGGCTGATGTCGGATCCTTTTTTAACTAGCGGCACAACCTTAATCGAATCATCGCACTGTACACAACCTTTGACCAGCTTCTCGATTGATTTCGATTTCACGCTAGGATGTATGCAAGAAAAGTACAACCAAAACAGCTCGGTGGGTTCAGGGACAGTAAGGACCTCGGTAAAGACATAGTCATCCGTTACTGCTTTAGTACCACCAACAAGTGGTTTGCTGGTGAGCGAGCCTTCATCGCGGGGTCTTTTAAATGGCTTTTGACGCATAAGATCGCCGAAACTCAATTGTGTTTTAGTTGTCAATGCGGTTCGTTTCGACAGCTGAGCGATCTGCTGTCCTTGCATAGTCATTTCCTTCCTAAGCTCAGCGTGTGCGATTTCCTGAAACAGCAGTTTTGAACCGGGCAAATTTAATCAGCTTCGCGTACTCGTTGCACATCCAAAACAAGTTCGGGCTAGTGTGGACAATGTTCAGAAAAGCCTTGTTTAACTTTGGGCCGCCGCATTTCAGGTGAATCATCCTGTCGCAAAAAGCCATGCAGGAGACGGATTCTTCGTCGCCTTTAACTGGTTTAGCGCATTGGTCACAGGCGGAAGTCATGCTGACTCAGTTTCCAAATCTAATTTAGAAACAGCGGTGGAGATGCTCTAATATGCAAGGAGGAGTTGGATTCTGCAGAGCTTCTGATATCGACAATAACACAACAGTAAACACTAGAAATACTCAGAGGGAGAGATGGGCGGAGAGAATGTTTTGAGCCAAATGAACTGTCAAAAGCTGAGCCAATCGAACATTCCCATTAGAATTTTTCCGAGGATTTCTTATTCTTACTAGAATTAATTTAAGAGTATTGAAATTGAACAGAAATTCAATCACCTTTATGTTTTGTGTGCTTCTCAAATTCAGCTAGTTTTTGGAATCAAAAATAATATTCTAACTCTATTGATTAATTGATCTTCGTTGGTTAATTAATGGCACCAAGAAATGTGCAAAATATTGCGATGCAATCAATTATTATTTTGCACGTAAATCGAATCAAAAATAAAAGTCATGTGACATGCTAGCTTCTAGCAAGGGTTGCAAGATAATTTAGGTACAAATCCCTGCTGCCGAATTGTATTTTGTTTTCTCCGCCTATCTCTCCCTCTGAGTATTTCTAGTTCTTATCTAAGGCAAACACAACAGGAAATGCTATTGCAGTCGAGTTATTAATGAAAAAGAATGTCGTTCAACGGAGATATCACCTTTTGCATGGGACACTTGTGCCTATAAACGGCATTCTACCATAGAGGTAACTCTAAGACCACTGGGTCCCGAAGAAAATCATTATTATTTTTGGCTTATTTTTGGTACCAGAACAACGGTCCCAAGCAGTCCCAAGCTATTTCACTCACCCCTGCATGTTCTGCATGAATCCACACACCCCTGATGTTATCTGTCAAACTTTCATAGCGAATCAAAACAAACATAGTGTAGTAATAGAATTTCAACTAGAATAGGGTACGTTAATCGTTTGCTTGGGACCAATAGGCTACTAAAGTGGTGAGCCAATTTAAAATCGTTAGTTTCGTATTGATTGTTGATTCTACTGCAAACCAATCATTGACTAAAAATGTAGATATTTTTCTTTAAAAACAATTTGAATGTGTGCAAGTTAACGGTGTAAACTAACTCTCCGATTATTTCAGCCCAAAGACGCATCTTCTCCTCGAAGGCCATCCGGGAAAATACGCGGCGACAGGTACGGAACCTACCGGAGGTCCTTCGAAAGAAGGAAGTCGAAAAGATCAACAACCTTAAGCGTAAAAATCTTATCCTACGCGATAAGTTCAATCGGGTATGGAAATTTATTGAGCTTGATAATGATTCACGAGGGTTACTTACCGGTGCTTAACATTACAGAACTTACAACGGAAGGTACTCCACGGTCATGTGGATCTCTCCAACAGTGTGCGCGTAATGCGGGAATAGTAGCGACAGAAGGCGACTTCCCATCCAGTAAGTACAAATAAATAAACATTGTGTTAACCGAGAATGTGTCTTATGAATAAATGTTATACTGTATTTAAAATTAAAATGAAAGATTGTTTGCTCCAAGCGAATAATATCACACCCTTTATTTGAGAATTTTGCACAACCCCACATTCCGTCGAACCGCGGCTACTCCCCGCCAGATGCCGCGCTTCAATTCGCTACCCAACACGACTCGCGACAACCCGCGTTCGCTTTTCATCACATGATGACAGCTCGTCCGGTGGTGAATTTCTGACGCAAATGTAACGAAGGAAATTTTTCTCCCCACAGCAGTGCTCTGAAACGATTTGGCAGCCCATCAGACTCTGAAGTTGCTGAAGTTGTAGAGGGAAGAGGTCACAAAGTTTTTTCTCGTCCACCCGTCAGCACTTGTGTGTCGTCGCTCATCCCGAGTCGAGTGGTCTCCGGGTTTTTCGGTGTCACGCGGCAGTTTCCAGTTCAGTAAGATCACATCCATCCACCACCATCGTAAAGAGGAGGAACCGCGGAGCAGAACAGCAGCAGCAGCAGTCTAGTTTGTGAAGGAACAGCAGAAGGAAAAGGCTGACAAAATGTCCGTCAATCGTCTTACGCCCCAGCAGGCCTCCAAGGAACATGTCCTAGCCGTGTCCAGAGATTTCATCTCGCAGCCACGACTGAGTAAGTACCCTTTTTGATTAGTTCTGCTAGAGTTTAAGGGCTCAGTTCCTCGGAAAGTTACCCGAAAGGAATTGTGCAAATTTTACGTAGTTTGGCAGTGTCATGTGATTGTCTTCGGGGGGGAGATCTTCAAAATCGTCACAGTTTTGTGTCTCCCCTTTGTCTAGATTGTTAATTTTAAGGCAGGAATAATCGTTTTATAACTTGCAGGACACTGCAAAATGGGATTATCGATTAGTCGAGCGGATGATGTCCTCTAGTTTAATGGCAAACATGCCTTGATTGTTGCTCTTGTTCCCTGTTTCAAGTTCCGAAATACGATTCCTAGAATTGTGCAGCAAGAGTAACAAGAGCAATCCTCAAATAATGCCCAAATGTGTGAAATTCCAGCAAAACTCTCAAGATTTTCCCATAAAAAATCGAAAAGAAAATTCTGTTTTGATGTCACATGACTGTCAAAACACCTGACTCTCGCTCTTTGCGAGTTCATTGAGAGCCCTTGCCGCTGTCTCTCGTGGGCACCAATACCAGTGCACATTAGCAAATTGCAGATAATCGTTGAGGCGCCGTTCCTTGTAGTGTATGTGCGAACGGTGCGAACCGAGCCAACACTACGCTCACCGTCTCGCTCTGGCATTCGATTGTTTTCATGGGTCGCTCTCTGTCCCACTCAGCGGTTTTACGCACGTTACCGTATATTGTGACGGTGGTATTGGTATTCGCGATGGGAAAAGCTACTGATATGAATGGTGTCGTTCTCGTGACTCGTGATAATGAATGGTTTCTCTCTGCTTTTTTTTTGTCTATCGTGCCATGAAGGAATGTCATCTCTTTTGTATCGTGTTGTTCATTTGCTGGTTTTCGGATCGAAGAGTTTAATTGGATAGAAGAGAATCTTCAGAAGAAGCAATCGTCCATATAGAATGATCTTAATTTTCGCAAATAATTTAATTGGGATGCATTTTTTTTTAATATTCAGGTACTAATGTGAATGTTGAGATTAGATAACTTTTATCAAGTTTGTTTGACGGACGAAGCGATGATGAGATAGCGCATCACATGTTTCCTCGATTATATAAAGTATCGTAACACGGCTTACCTAGTGTAGACTACATTTGATATGTCTTCCTCGGAAGTAATAATTAAAAAATCTTGTCCATTATAGTAGCTTCAGCTTGACAAGTTTAACTGTATTGATCGGTTTAAAACCAATGTATTTAAGGCTAAACAATGTCGTTAAATGATGATCATGTCACATGGTGACGAGTTCAGCGATTTATTCCGTAAATTCCGGACAAATTTTGGTTGTATCAATAGTCATTCTAGTACGCCAGAACTGATTGATTTCTCCTGTCATATTTTTCCCTGAAAGCTTATAAAAATATAATATTTCTTGGTTTCTACAAAGTTATAAATACTAATGATGATGATGATGGTCCCACCTCTTACCCCTACAAAGGTTTGAGCTGGACGAGTTATCTTTAAGATAATTAAATATAAACATTTTAACCAGGTTTGCAAACAAAATCGAGCTGGTTACAATTACAGATATAAATGTCCTGTTAAATATGCTATAGGCATCAACCAAAAACATTCAAAGGTTTAGCTAGTTATCAAAAGTCCAAGTATAGTCCTCGACAATACTTCCATTTACACGTGACCTGGGATTTACACGTTTAAGCTTCCGCAGTGCCAGGACTATATCCAAGGAAACGACTTCCAGCCAATCCTTTACTAATTTAAGGCTTTTGCCACAATTTCCACGTATTAGTCATTTATACCTGTATTCCGCGCGCGAGGCTCAAACCATTGTAGACTACTCAAAGGTATTTTTACTATTACTACTACAAAATCAAAAAAACTAAAAATCCATCATCACCATCGAGGCAAACAATGTAGTTTTTTGTATATGCTACACAAATTACTAAAATGTCTTGATGACAGTCTCCATACAAACTAATCCGTTAGTGATAACTTTGTCAAGATACATGATTTATCCATTCATAAAAAATTAACTGCTCAATAAACAGCTTTTACATGTGAAATGCAGCGTCTCTTGAATTCTGTAAGTGTAGTTGCACGCTTGATGTGTCTAGGCATCGAATTGAAAACATTTATACCTTTGAAAAATAATGAATTTTGTGAAGCATTATTCAAAAGATGTGGTGTTCTTACTTCATCCGCGTTTCTAGTGTTATATCTATGAAAATCACTTCCTCTTTCAATCCGATCACACAAATATCGAGGCAGCAAACCGTTAACTACTTTAAAAATGAACACCATAGTCAAAAACACAATTCTTTGCTTCACTGACAGCCATTGCAAAGCGTCCAGCATAAAAGTTGAGGAAGTGAATCTATTACATCTTAAAATCAAACGCATTACTTTATTCTGCAAACGCTGTAATCTCGATATTTGTGTTTCATTGGCCAAAAATAAAATGGAAGGGCAAAATTCTAGATGAGGGGAGATGATTGATTTGTATAACTGTATTTTACTACCAATAGTTAAATCGTTTTTCAAGCGACATAGGATTCCATACTTCTTGGCAATTTTCTTGATGACATTGTCAATATGAGAATTGAACTTGAGTTTGTCATCAATAATCACGCCAAGATATTTAATTTCCTGAACGCGATCAAGTGTCTCATCATCAATAACAACAGAGACATCATCATCTACACGATTCCGCGAAATTACCATGAATTTAGTTTTACTTATATTCAATTTCAATTGTTTATACTTCAACCATCTACTTAGAGAACGCAAATCTTCATTCAAGCGTGAAACGGCTTCTTCTAAATCTTTAGCTGCAATGAATAACACAGTATCGTCAGCAAAAAGATTAATATCACAAAACCGTAAAACTCGTCGCATGTCATTAATATACATAATAAATAAAAGGGGCCCTAATACACTTCCCTGAGGCACTCCAAGGTCATTGTCAACGGGACAAGATACAAAATCATTAAAAACAGTCCTTTGTGTTCTGTCAGATAAATAGCTTTCAAACCATTTGTATGCAGAACCCGAAATTCCAAAGCGCTTGATTGTTCTCAACAATAAGGGCCTAGAAATTGTCTCAAAAGCGCGTTTTAGATCCAAAAACACAGCAACAATCGTATCTTTATGCTCCAAATTTTCTTTCCATTTAGCTAACACTAAGTTTAACGCGGTTTCACAAGAATGGCCTTCCCGGTATCCCGATTGTTCCGGTATCAACAAACAGTTACTATTTAAATATTCTAACAGCTGGCCTTTTACAACAAGTTCTAAAATTTTCTCTAATGTGTGCAACATGTTGATGGGACGAAACTCTTCGGCTTTAATCGTCCCAGCAACTTTTTGTATAGGAACAACTAAAGATTCTTTCCAAATATGCGGCACGTGCCCAGATTGCAATGATTGATTAATAAGGTCCCGCAGAGTGTGTCGAATGACATGAAAGCAATCTTGAATAACTCTAGCATTAACATTATCTACTCCAGCCGTTTTTCCTAATGAAAAGCAAATATTTTTAAGTTCATCTAATGTAATTGGGTGAAAACCATTAAATCTACAATTACTATTAATCGGCTGTTTTATTTCGTCCGGTTCATTGATCAGTTCAATAGATTGATTGATCAGTGAAACGCTCTCAACGAAATAGTCATTGAACTTAGAAGCAATTACTGGTTCTGACTGTTCTAATATGCCATCAAAAGTTATGGTCCGCGATTTACAATTACTAGGCTTCATCAAAGATTTCAAAATTTTCCATAACTCTTTGCTGTTGTTTTGATGCTGATCAATTTTCCTCTGAATATATTCACATCGAGTTTTCTTAATTGATTGTGAATATTTATTACGCGCGACCGTGTACCTATTCCAATGATTATCACTATTCGATCTACAAAACTTTTTGTACCATTTGTCCCGCTTACGTTTAAGACGCAAAAGATCCAAATTGTACCAGCTGTTCGAGTTTTTCAAAGAAACAAACTTTTGTTCAACTAATTTATTGGTACAAGTTTTCAAAACGTTAGTAAGAACAGCTGCATCTTCATCTAAAGTTCCGGTAACTAATGGAAAATCCACGCTTCTCTCAACAAGATTCGAAACAGCTTGCTTCGAATATTTCCTCCAGCACTTCAATTTTACAAAATTATCGTTATCGTTAACACTGTCTAAAACATTAATTACTAAAGTTTCATGATCGGTTATTTTCAAATCAGCTTGAGTAACTGAACTGACAGAATCAAAATTAGAATAAACATGGTCAATCAAAGTTCTACTGTGCCGGGAAATACGCGTACATTCACTTACTAATTGTTTTAAATTAAAGAAATCAGCTAATTGCTTCAGATGGTTCGAATTGCTAGTATCATGCCAATTAATGTTAAAATCACCCGCAAGTATATTTAATTTACTAGAATCTAAAAATGTCTCGAACCAGTTCTCTAAAATTTCAATAAAACGCTGATTACTTGAACTGGGAGAATGATACAAAACACCATAATTACCCATCTTCATGCCACGTTCAACTGTAATGCCTAAGAACCAATTGCCATCAATAACTTCGTTTTGGCGAAGATTGAATTGAACTGATTCTTTGACATAAATAGCAACACCGCCAGTGTGCCTTGAATGTGACAAACAAGCAGCAGCTTTATATCCCGGAATGCTATACTGATCAAAAGATTCAATTTCTACAATATGTGTTTCTGCTAACAAAACCAAAAGTGGACGATTATCTTCTACAATCTGACGTAATGTTACGTAGTTTGTAGATAACCCCGCAATATTCAAATACATACACACATACTGAGCTCATAATCAGACTATTTCGAAAAGATTCGGGCTTGTGTTACATTCGAGCAGTGGAGCTTAGGGCTAAACAGAGACTTTACTTAAAGATAGGAGGTCAAGGGGGCATTTTCCCAGGAATACACATTTCAGGGGCTCCTGAAATTTAAGAAATTTCGATCAAATTTAAAAACAAGAAACGATCTTAAAAGTGA